AAAAAGCTGAGAAGTGAGTCCACTCTGACTGCTTTGTGTTTCTCTTCAGTTAACTGTTGGCCCTCAGAAAGTGGTAATGGCTGTGATGTCAACATAGAATATGAGCTACAGGAAGATCATTTAGAGCTGAATGACGTGGTTATCACCATCCCACTCCCGTGAGTTATGGTCCTACCTCATCATCTCTGTATGTCGGCTTAGAACTGGTCTTTTGGAACTCTATTTTAGAGGAGTCACCTTGTTGTCCCTCCATTCTGGTACTTTTTTTTTTTTTTTTTTTTGGCAGAACCGGGGATTGAACTCAGGCCTTTATGCTTGCCAGGGAAGCGCTTATTCCACTGAGCCATCTCCCCGGCCCCATGTCCCTCCATTCTAAGATACTTGCTTCTTAAAATAACAGTCAAGTGGGTCTGGTGGGTTAGCTCAGTTGTCTAAAGCACCTTCTTGAGCAAAATCAGTCAGGGGCAAGGACCTGTGATTAGATCCCCAGCACCACATGGCACACCAGACCCATCCTTAAAGCAACCTGAGCCAGCCACAAAAAAAGAAAAGAAAAGAATGCTTCTTAAAATAATAGTCAAGAAGCCATTAAAGGGGCTGGTGAGATGGCTCAGTGGTCTAAAGCACCTACTTGGAACAAGCTTGGCAAAACCCAGGGACCACGGTTCAATCCCCCAGCACCACATGCCAGCCAGCCTCGCCCCCTGGTGGGCTGAGCTGGCCACACACACACACACACACACACACATAAATAAATAAATAAATAAAATAAAATAAAAAAAAAAAAAGAAGCCATTAAAAAGGTTTACCTAGGGCCGGCCAAATAGCTCAGTGGATTGCAGGGGCCAGGGGTTCAATCCCTGGGCCTGCCATGCTGGCCCCAATCCCGGGGCGCGCTGAGACGGCATTTGAAACTGGGCATGGTAGCCCATGCCTGTAATCCCAGCTCTTGGGAGGCTGTAAACAGGCGGATCAGAGTCCGATCTAGTAGTGAGACCCTGAACACCTTGTAGACCTTTCCCTAAAATAAAAAAAAAAAAAAAAAAAAGGTTTACCTGCTACATAATTGCACTTCTATGACTTTCTGGAAAGTCCAGAGATAGGGAAGCAGATACAAAGGGGTAAAAAGAAACTTGGGGGGTGGTAGGAATTTGTGGATTGGTTATAGTGGTGTTTGTTAGAATGCATTTATGTATATGTGTGTGTGTGTGTGTGTGTGTGTGTGTGTGTGTGTGTATTTTTTTTAAAGGGGTTGGATTTTTTTTTTTTTTAATCATTTTTACTTATTTATTTTGCGGTACTGGGAATTGAACTCAGGACCTTGCACTTGCCAAGCAAGCACTTATTCTACTGAGCTATCTCCCTGGCCCACGAGGTGGATTTTTTAACTTTCAACCCAAACTAAACAAAAAGGTTCTAGTTGTGGAGATAATTTCAGATAATTCATGTATAATCCTTGGTTTGTTCATGTAGTAATAAAGACTTCCAGAAGGAGGAGCTACTTTTCAAATTTCCTATTTTGTTTTTGCAACTTTGAAAGAAATTGAGTCCACCAGATCAAATATTCTTTTTTGCTTCTTTCTAAATTTATTTTAAAATGCTGGGTGGGTGAAGCACGCCTATAATCCCAGCACTTGGGAGGCTGGGGCAGGAGGCTCACAAGTTTGAGGCCAGCTGAGGCTGTGTAGTGAGTTCAAGGCCAGCCTGGACTACATAGTGAGACCTGTCTCAAAAAAAAAAAAGAAACTGAAAAAATATTCCCAACCAGAAGCACCACATTACTTCTTACCGGGGATTGAACTCAGGCCCTTGCGTTTGCCAGGCAAGTGCTTATTCTACTGAGCTATCTCCCCAGCTCCAGAAGTACCACATTAAAAAAAAAAGAATATGTTCAGTTGAACTTTTTTTTTTCCTGGAACTGGGGATTGAACTCAGGCCCTTGCGCTTGCCCAGAAAGCACTTATTCCACTGAGCCATCTCCCCAGCCCCTTTTTTTTTTTTTTTTTTTAACTTTTGATTCTTACTGAAACTAAGTACTTATGCTAATTTGAGTTTGTTAAGGTATACTGACTTTAATAAACTACATGTATTAAAATTTTGGGGGCTGGTGAGATGGCTCAGTGGTCTAAAGCACCTACTTAGAACAAGCTTAGTAAATCACAGGGACCACGGTTCAATCCCCCAGCACCACATGCCAGCCAGCCCCGCCCCCTGGTGGGCTGAGCTGGCCACACACACACATATAAATAAATAAAAAAAATTAAAATTTTGCAGTGTGATAAATTTTTCCATGTTACACACATAGGAGATCTTCAGCACAAAAATGGGTGTCATCCCCCAGATTTATTTCCAGTAACTTCTGCTGTGCACTTAAATGACCTGTTCTGTACTGTCATCTGGAAATACTCTTATCAAGTTTATTTCTTTTGGGCTGTGTATTAGTATTACTTCACAAGTGAATCCCAATTCTCCCACCCTTGAGTCTTGCCATGGTTAATATAGGGTTTAATTATGAACATTAGTAAATTTATTATTTACTGTTACTCATCTATTACAGGGGAAATGATACTAACTTCATTTATAGTTTTGTTTTCTTTCTGATAACTCACCCTTTTATATTGTCAAGTCTGGTGTTAGATATTCTTGTATCTGTGTGTGTGTGTGTGTGTGTGTGTGTGTGTGTGAAAATTGCTTTGAACCATGTAGGACTTGCACATTGGTGACAGGTGGGATTTTTTTTTTTTTAATTTTACTTATTTATTTGTGTGTGTGTGTGGCCAGCTCAGCCCACCAGGGGGCGGGGCTGGCTGGTATGTGGTGCTGGGGAATTGAACCGCGGTCCCTGTGCTTTGCTAATCTTGTTCTAAGTAGGTGCTTTAGACCACTGAGCCATCTCACCAGCCCGACAGGTAGGATTTGGCAAGATTTATTTTACTGGACTATTTTTAGGATGCCACAATTTTTAGGCTTCTCTGTCAACCTTGTCATTGTGGTTATAGTAGTTTCTTATGTCTCGGTTCAATTTTGCACTGGTCTCCTGAAGAAATCCTTAGACATTTTACTCCATATTAAGAACTGATCAAATTAGAAGAGATCATAGTTGGAATTGGAGCAGGGGCACAAAGAAGGAACATAAAAGAACCAAGAGCATAAAATGGATAGTGAAGAATTAATGGTTTTATGCTGTGCCTAAAGTTTTCTGTCTCCCTTATTTATCCTGTCCTAGTGCAAGCAGTGTCACCCATGAATTAAAAGACAGCAAATTTAGAATGTGTAGGAGTAGGTGACTGCCTTTCAGCCATGTGTGGTGGTGCAAAGTATTTCCTCACCAGCCCTGAAGGTTTTGCAGGCTAAAGACAGCTCCATGTCTTTATCCCATCATATTGCATTGTGCTCAAGCATGGTTATACCTTTATTAAACAAAAGTCCAGCTACTGGATTATAAAGAAAGCTACTGGGAAAAAAAAAAGAAAGAAACCTACTGGGAGCCTCAGCTTCAGTTAGATGTGAACATTTTAAACTTTCAAAAACAAGTCCAAGGGACCGGGCAGATGGCTCAGTGGAATAAATGTTTCCCTGGCAAGCGCAAGGGTCTGAGTTCAATCCCCAGTTCCACACACACAAAAAAAAAAGTCCTGCTGGGTGTGGTGGCACACTCCTGTAAGTCCAGCACCTGGGAGGCTGAGGAAGGAGGATTGCTGTGAGTTTGAGGCCAGTCTGGGCTACAAAGTGAGTTCTAGGCTAGCCTGAACTATATACCAAGACCCTGTGTCAAAAATAAAAGAAAGTCGGGCTGGAGAGATGGCTCAGTGGTCTAAAGCACCTACTTGAAACAAGCTTGGCAAAACACAGGGACCGCAGTTCGATCCCCAGCACCACATGCCAGCCAGCCCCGCCCCCTGGTGGGCTGAGCTGGCCACACGCACACACAATAAATAAATGTAATAAATAAAAATAAATAAATATTTTTTTAAAAAATAATAAAAGAAAGTGGTATATGGACGGCTCAGGGGTAGAATTTTCAAAAAGACAAAAATTAAGTCCTTTCACATGCCTAAATTCATCTCCATTTTATTTTTTTAAATTTGTGTGTGTGTGTGTGGCCAGCTCAGCCCACCAGGGGGCAGGGCTGGCTGGCATGTGGTGCTGGGGGATTGAACCGCGGTCCCTGTGTTTTAGCTACAGCTTGTTCTAAGTAGGTGCTTTAGACCACTGAGCCATCTCACCAGCCCAATTCATCTCCATTTTAAATGTGTTTAAAATGTCCACACGCTGTTACTAGTATAACTTTAAGCATCCCTCAGCCCTCTCTGGCAAGTATAGTACCTGTTGTTGTGTATTTATAAAGGCCATTGAGTAAGATCAATAGCTAAGATGCTAGGACTTTGATCCTTGACGATATTAAGGAATCTAATTTTCTCTTGAACTGTATAAAAATGGCAGGCCTAGAAAGTTTGAATCCAAATTTGAGTAGCATAGTTAAATTTGGGGTTGGTTTTCCTTATTGGAGTTCTTTAAACTGTGGACAACTAATTTGACTGAATGTTTTTCATGACAGATCGGGTGTTGGTGCTCCTGTGATTGGTGAGATTGATGGGGATTATCGGCATGACAGTCGACGAAATACCTTGGAGTGGTGCCTGCCAGTGATTGATGCCAAAAATAAGAGTGGCAGCCTGGAGTTTAGTATTGCTGGGCAGCCCAATGACTTCTTCCCTGTTCAAGTTTCCTTCATCTCCAAAAAGAATTATTGCAACATACAGGTACTCTGTTCATACAGAGCACATACGTGAGGAAAGCAAAGGACCAGTACCTGATAGCAAAGTTCCATGTCAGAGTAAAAATTAGTAGAAAACTTTATGTTCTTTACAGATTCCATATCTGACTTTGATTTTGGTCACATTTCTCACTTTTTTTTTTTTTTTTTTTTTTTTTTTTTGCGGAACCGGGGATTAAACTCAGACCCTTGCACTTGCCAGGGAAGTGCTTATTCCACTGAGCCATCTCCCTGGCCTCCCCAAATTCCTCACTTATTGCACTTCAGATTTCCTCCTTAGATCAGACAGAGTTTTCAATTAGCAATAATTGCGCCTCGGATAAACCTCATTGGCTACGATACTGCCACTGCGCAAAGCTAATCAGACAGAGTTTTAACAAAAGAAAACTTAAGCCTGGGTGTATTGATGCACACCTGTAATCCATGGACTTGGGAGGCTGAGACAGGAGGTTTGCCACAAGTTAAAGGCTGTTTTACGTTACTGTAGTGAATTCAAGGAGAGCCAGAACTACACAGTGGGGCCCTGTGTAAAAAAAAAAAAACCAAAAACCATAAATGCATATCAAGGTATTTGTGAGCACAAATATCCTGTCTTTAATTCTCTTCCCGTCCGCGTCCCCGTCCCCTTCCCCTTCCCCTTCCCCTTCCCCTCCCCCCTTCTTTTCTTTTCTTTGGTAGGGAGGGTTGAACGAGGATCTTGTGTGTGCTAGTCAAGTAACTATCACTGATCTACAACCCAGGCTCTTTTTATTTTTGTGATAGGTTTTCACTAAACTGCCAGGCTAGCCTTACACTGACAGTCCTCCTCCTTCAGCCTCCTGAGTAGTTTGGATTATAGGTGTTTGTCACCATGCCTGGCTCATGGTCTCTCTTAAGTTGTGGGTTTTTTTAACTCACATATTTTAAAATTCATTTGCCAGAACACCGCAAACATTATTTTAGTATTGGAGGATTCTCTCTTAATTTCCTTACTATGATTTTTTTTTTATCAGTTCAATGTTTTGTTTTGTTTTTTATTTTTAATGTTTTTTGAGACATCTCACTGTGCTGTTTAGTTTAGCCTTTGAACACATTATGTAACCCAGGCTGGGCTCAGATTCATGATCTTCTGCCTCAGTCTCCCAAGTGCTGGAATTACATGTATGTGCCACCATGCCTGGCTTATCAATATATATTTAAGACATACTCATCTTGATAAATTGGCACATAAACATACTGCATTTTGATCATTTTTATTCCTCACCTCAGTTTTCTATCTGTCCCACAACAAAGTTTTATGAAGCCTTGTCGCTTAATTTATACCCAAGGAATGAAAGAATTTTTTAAATTTGTATTTATTTTGTTATTTTTAATGCATTTGGTACAAGATTTCACTACACAGCTCAGACTCATAGTGATCCTCCTATTTTCAGCCTCCCCAGCGCTGGTATTACAAGTGTGCACCACCATGCCTGGTCTTGGTGGCTGGTTCACTGCGTCCAGGGGAAGGACTGGCATGGCATAATACCAAATATTATGGCTTATCAATATATATTTAAGACATGCTCATCTTGATAAATTGGTACTATAATCCCAGTACTATAATCCCAGTACTTTGGTACCAGGGATTGAACCCCAATCAGTCCCTGTGCTGGCCTAAGCAGGTGCTTGGTCTGCTGAGCTATCTCGCTGACACAGTTTTTTTAATTTAGAAGACAAAAGTACTGCTGGACTTAATAGGACATACTTGTAATCTAGGCTATTAAGGGAGGCTGAAGCAGGATTTTGAGATTAAAACTAGACTGGGCACCTTAGCAAGACCATAAGTTAAATTTTAAAAAAAGGAGCTAAGTGTGGTGGCACACACCTATAATCCCAGTAGTTTGGGAGGCTGAGGCAGGACATTAGCGTGAGTTTGAGGCCAGCTTGGGCTACACAGTGAGTTCAAGGTTGGTCTGAACTACACAGCAGAACCCTGCATATAAGAAATAAGGGCTGGCCAGATAGCTCAGCAGATTAAAGCACCTGCTTAGGCAGGTATAGGGACCATGGTTTGATCCCCGGCCTGCTGTCCTGGCCCCACCCCAGGGACATGCTGAGACAGCGACTAAAACTGGGCGTGGTGGTGCATACCTATAATCCCAGTGCTTGGGAGGCTAAAAACAGGAGAATCACTGAATCTGATCTGTGTAATAAGACCCTGTAGACCCCCCTGCACTAAATAAAAAAAAAAAAGAAAAGAAAAGTAATGGTATGTAATTCATTAGTAGAGATTGCTATCTTGTATACAATGAATGAAGCCTTGCATTCTGCCAAAAGGAAGGGAGTGGAGAGGAATTGGAGGTTAGAGGGGGAGATCTAAAGTAATGAAAATAATTTAATTGTGGCATGGCTTTCTGCATTAGTACAAATAATAATGAGCCGTTTCCATTGTGAACTTTGCCCTTCAGTAAAGTAGATGAAACAAAACAAACTGCATTACCTAGTTTATATTATTTATCTTTTATCTTTTGTTTTTGAGAATGGGTTTCACTGTGCAATTCAGGCTGGCCTTGAACTTACTTTGTAGCCCAGGCTGGCCTCAATCTCAAGTGATCCTCTTGCCTCAGCCTCCCAAATGATGGGATTACAGATATGGGCCACCATGTTCAGCTATAGTTTTATATTATTGTTTCCTCTTTGACTTGCATGTTACTTGGCACTATCACCTTCCCAGATATCTCTATCACCCTGGTAGTTGGTTGATTTCAAAGAGCAGTTTTCTTTTCTCTCAATAACATAACCCCATCAGTACTGAGAGATTGTTAAACCTAAGACATATAGAAATGGGTACATTTGCCTATTTGGGACCATTCAGCAGTTAGGACAATATACTTACTTTCTCTGAATCTCATTAGAAAATATTAATCATTGGTTCATATGTTGTGTTGGTGCCATTACAGATATTATAATTGTACACATTATACTCAGAATTTAATGTTAGGGGCCGGGGAGATGGCTCAGTGGAATAAGCGCTTCCCTGGCAAGCGCAAGGGCCTGAGTTTGATCCCTGGTTCCGCAAAAAAAAAAAAAAAATTAATGTTAGAAGGTCAGGTGTGGTAGCACATGCTTGTAATACCAGCACTCCAGATTTCAAGGTCAGCCTCAACTGCATAGAGAAACTCTGACTCAAAAAAAGATGAAAGAAAATCCCCAAAAATTTATTGGTAGAAAAACTCATTTAAAGGACCTAGCCTTGCCCAAAAATTAGTATGGTGGAATAGCTTACTGGGCCTTTCAACATGGGAATTTTGAGAGCAGATCCAGTGAGTCATAGTGAGAGAACTGATTGTTCTGATAGAATCTCTATGGTTTTCACAGGTTTTATAAGGTAGGGTTGGGCTGCAGCCGCTTACTCTGGAGCTCTTGTTTGCTGTTAATATTGCTTGATGTGTCATTGCAGCAGTTGTCCTTTCTTTATGTAGAGATCAGATTAATCTTGTTGATGGGGAAGACTGATGGCTGTGAGCTACAGTTGTGCATTGAACACCTTTTATTTATAAGCTGTATTTAATACTGTTTTTAGGAAATTTGGCTTATTCTCTAAGGAGAATTTAATCAGCGTTGCATAGAGTAAACCTCTTTTTTTTTTTTTTTTTTTTTTTTTTTTTTTCCCCTTCAGGTTACCAAAGTGACCCAGGTAGATGGAAACAGTCCGGTCAGGTTTTCCACAGAGACCACTTTCCTAGTGGATAAGTATGAAATCCTGTAATATCAAGAAGAGAGAACCGAAAAGGAAAAGTTTCGCATTAATAGAAGAGCCAAAAACTGGCTGAAGAGTTTTTCCAAATTTACAAGCCATTGGAGACCCTTTTTTTTCTGATACAGTGCACATCTCCTGTGCAAGGACCCTCAACTCATTCCCAGTGTTTGAGTGTCACAGAGACATTCTTTGACAGAGAAATGACACAGACATGAAGGGAAAGGCTGCTCATTTCTTTGGCAGATTTTATTGGCCAGCCGAAAAGCAAGCTCTCCAGAGAATGCCCCCAGCAAACACCTCCTCAGTCTTCACCTAAGCTGCTCTTTTATTTTAATCCCCAAATACAGTTTATTTCGTACTTTGCTTTTAAGTTTTCTCTGTAGATTTTAATCTCATACTTCCTTCCCATACATTCAATCAGGCACTGGGATTATCTGTATATAGGCATTGTGTTTGACCTCCTGGAACAAGGTTATCTAAACTGTTCTTGATTTGTGGACAATATTGCTGAACTGCTTAAGGGTATGGAATATAGAAGTTAAAAGATAAAATTCATTCTCTTTTCCTATGTCTATTTATCCCTCCATTAATTTGCCAAGCTGTTTTCCTTTTAAGGACTATCCTTCCTGTTTAAAGTAGTACTGTGAGTCATGCTTGTGTCAATATTAATGAGAAACAGCTTTCAGATGACATGGCCCCTCTTCAGGATGTCTAGGAGCAGAGTGGTTGTGGCCCCATGGAATATCACATTTATTGCTAGGGCTGTCCATACTTCCAGTTCTCCACATTTTGAGTACTTAAGTTCAAACATAGTAGCCCACAGTTTTGTATCCTTTCACATTCCTTAATTTCTCCATCTCCCTCTTCCTGATCACAGTGTCATCAGTCCTTTCTTTCTAGCAGGAACACGGTTAGATTTTGGAGGCCACTGGTGCAGTGAGTATTTGTGCCAGTCCCACCCTTAACCTTCCTATCAAGTCCCTCCTGGATTATCAAGGAAAATCCATTTCTGCTGCTAGGTTTTTAGCATTTCAGTAGGCCCTTCTTACACTGGTTGTGTACAGCCAACTCAGCATTTTCTTCCTGCCTCCATCTCTGAGAGACCCTTTTCTAATCCCTGAGCCTTTTAAGTGTCGTGATGATGATGTGATTATTTCTCAGTTCTATTTCATCTGTTAGTTTTTGGTGGAGAACAACATTGCCAACCCAGCCTTGACTTTTAATCCAGTATTGCACTCAGTAGGATGTGTGACAGGTTGCCAAGAGGCTGCAAGCCCTGGCTGTGGGAAGAGATGAACGACTATGGATGGCCTCTTGCGTTTACAGCTGTTGGAGAGCAGCACTTCATTCTGAATGCCTGGCCCTGCCTGCAGAGTGCACGGTGTTGACACAGGACAGCCACAGGTGGCCATAGCTGGAGTTGCTTGCCAAAGAAATGTTTGGCCTTTCCCTTTCCTTAACCCTTGTATCAGGGAAGAGTACTTATCTCTAGCTTGGTTTCCACATGAAATTTTTCTGAGGAAGGGGGCTAGGACAAGAAGTCTGTCGTGTAGTTTAGTAGGCAAGAAATCTTATTAATCCAGTTCTGTTTGAGAGTTGCTTGTTCATCTGATTTTTTAAAAGTCAAGTTTAATTTCA